TAGGTAAGCAGGGTGTGTCCCTCTGGAGGGAGAGTGGGAGTTCCATTCCAGATACTGGGAAATTTCCACGTGTAGGCAGCAATGTGTGGATCACTCCCTTTGGTTTGGATACTCTTAAGCATGGTAATGGGTTTCCACGAGTGTTAGGCAACCGTCTGATCAAGAACAAAAGGACGTTGCAAGATTTCAGCTCATAGTCCATGTTGACACTCCATTTTTTATTTATTTGACCAGCCGGGTATCTGACGTACGTGGAAACCCATCAACCAATTTAGGAGTATCCAAACCAAATTGTGCAGAGTTTCACATATGTATTGAAATGTCCCTGTGTCTGGAGGGGAATGTCTCCGCAGAGGGATGTACCCTGCTCACTTAACCACAGATAATTGAGGCATTGGTTTGGGAGAGACAAATGCGGAGGGGTATTGCTGGAGTTTAACCAGCCAAAACCATGCAGCTTGCCATTGTAGGCATGGCCTCTCATACTTCCAACTGTTCATCCGCTTAGGATCCAAATGACTAGTAGTCCAAGTGGGAAGAAATTCCTCCCTAGTAACTGGTCTACTCCTTCAGGTCCTACCGATGAGCCAAGCTGTACATTAACGGCGATTTGACGGCCTGCAGACCTGGCTGGCACAGTGAGGAATGGTCAGATTCTGATATTCCATCACCAGGTGTGTCAGTTTTGGAGAAATCTCAGCCCCAAGTAAACCCTACTCCTCTCCCATCTTCTTATATAAAACACTAGCAAATCACAAGCAAAACGGTTTGTGGTCCATTCAAATAAATTGGGTGGAACAGTGGAGTGGAGCACACCGGAGACCTCATCAGAAATATCTCTGAACTTGAGCTGTTGGAACCCAACAGTCCCCAGAGCCTAATCTACTCCAAACTTTTTCAGGTTAGAGTGTGAATGGGATTAGTCCCATATTATCCAGACAAAAGCTAACCCTTGCTAAGAATTCACTGACATTGCATTGAGGTTTCAAATTGGATCATATGTTTGTGCTTGTGCAGAGATGTTGTGGGGAGAGGGATTAGGGGAGGGGGGTTGTTGGAGAGTGGAGAGAATTCTCCACTCACTTTCCTTTCATCTGTTCCATTACCGACGGTTTTCTTCCCATGGGCCTGAGCCTGTTGAGAAGCGATTGTGTTGAAATGTCAGGTAGCTCGCTCTGAGATCTCTTTGTCTTGGCTTCATGCAATGCGCATGAGAATCTAAAGTCGAGTGCAAGGGTTTAGCCGGCAACAGGTCTAGTGTACAATAGCAGCAGCGGTGAAGAGGATTCATAGATGGGATCCAATTGATAGCAAAGATCTACTGGTCCTGAGTGTGAAAGGGCATGGATGAAAGAAAGTGACGTACATCGCACTGCATGGATGCAATTTGTAACGCTGCACTTTCTTGTCACTAGTTAATTAGCCCCAAGATTCACCACTGGACCACAGCAAGTATGTAGTCATTCAGAAACAGGAGGGATCTCTAATGGTGCTAAGTAGCTGAATCGATGCTGCCGAGAAGCTTTCTGATTTAATCTTGAGGACAAAGATGCTCTTTTTAACACTAGAAAGGGAAGATTTTATTTAATCTCACCAGCCTCTTCCTTCTTCGTGCAACCAGTTTAGCACTCTCACCTCTAGCTCAAAAGGGTTGTGGCTTTAAGCCTGATGTTGTGATTTTTCCTCACTGATTTTGTTTTTGGCCATCTGGATGTTTGACTCAAGCCCATCGCTGAATGAGACTTGAAACCAAGGTCCCGTCTGCCTGTTCAGGTGGACATTATAGATCCCATGGTGCTGTTCGAAAAGAGAAGGGTGTTTCTCTCCCAGTGTCCTAGCCAACAATCCCCCAAATATTAAAGGTTCACACAGTCACAGAGAAAGGTGTTCAGATGGAATTTGAAAGTAGAGAGGGTCAGTGAGGTGGGGGTATTGAACTCTCCTCCTCCTATAATAATAATAATAATAATAATCCTTGCACTTGATATGGCAACGTATCATGTCATTGAGACATCTCAAAGCGTTTCACAAAATATATTGTAAAGTGTAGACTGTATATTTTGTGTGCAAAACGTGGCAGTTAATGGCACCCAGCAGTGTCTCACAAACAGTGGTGGATTGAGTGACCAATCTCTCAGATAAAATTAGTCAGTCAGGTCATTGCTGTTTGATATTGCTGTGTGCACAATACATGATCATGACTTTAACCTACAAAAATACAGTGTAAATCCTGCTAAATGCTTTGACACATCCTAAAGTGAAAGGCACACTATATCAAATGAATGGATTATTATTATTTATTTAAGAAGAAAAATGCCCGACTGCATTGCATGTTACGAAGAGATCATATCAATAAAAGGGATGTGTTTTCAAAAATATTATCCAAGTAAATCTTCAAAAACCCAGATGAACTTGTTAGACTGCTCGTTCTCGTAGCAGTTTCACTGGGCTACGTGACAAATCATTCTTAAAACCACAGAAATTCAGTCCCCGTCAACGGCCTGGCATTAGGAGGCAGCGAGAAACTGTGACAAACACACACTATTCACAAGATGGGTTTGGATGAAGAACGCCTTTTGGCCCACCTGAATTTATCCTTCCAGAATATTCAACATACCAGGATACCCACCTTACTGTCCACCTAGCACCGCATCAAGTTGTTTATAAATGTGTCCAGTTTCCTGGATTCAACCACCCTTCAACCTGTTTCAGTTGTTAATTACCCTCTGGATAAAGAAACTTTTTCTGGGGTATGTCGTGAAATTACAACTCTAGAGAAAATGACTCAGAGGAAACCTTACAGAGGTGTATAATATTTTAAATGGGATAAAATAAGTAAACCCAGATCAATACTTTAGTGAAGCAAGATAATATAGGTTTAAAGTTGCACAGGGCAAATTTTCTTTTCAAATAGTGCAATGGGATCTGTACCATCCACCTAACCAGGCAAATGGGACTTTGGTTTAACGCCGCCTCTGAAGGATAACACCTCTGACAATGCAATGCACCCCCAGCACTTCAGTGGAGTGTCAGCCTATAACAGTAGCTCAAAGTCCATATCTGAGGCTTTAACTTACAACCTTTTGACACTTCTGTGATCAATCACTCTCGATGTGTTTTGTGGAAAAAAGGGCAATTTTAGGGGAATCCCAAAAATCCATCACTCTCTTCTGGTCACAATTTTGAAAGGAAGGAAGGGACCGTCCATAACTACCAATCTTTTGGACAAGAATTGTGAAGGTAGCCTTTGCAATTCTTCTGCAAAAGATTGGTGTTTATGGACGGTCCCTTGATCACCCACGCAACCTCTTAGGCACTGATATTTATCGTCCATCAACATTTTCTATGTTCACTCAACGTTGGCGCTCACCATTATTTCTATATTTGGAGTCCTAAAGGCCTTTCATTATACTCAGATAAGCATTAGTTGACACCTTTTCGGTGCATTTGAACTCTGGGCATAATTATACTCATCTGCGAAGGGCTCACCTACATACTTTTCAGGAGCCTTTCAATAATGTACTTCTTGGTACTTTGTATTAGGCTACTTTTCATTTCATTGGTTCCCTAGCGCTGCTCAGGGATAGACCCATTGTTCTGCCTCTAACAAGCAGTGGAAAGGTTATTTAACAGTGGGTGTGTTTCTATCTATCAGGACACACTGCCCCAGGGCTGAATGTGCTGGCGAAAATCATTTGTGACGGTTGTGAAGAAAATAAATGTTGACAGGACTAAGTCGCTGTGTGTTTGGTAGTCAGGATGCAGGGCTGAAGATCTCCGTGACAACCGCTTAAATTGCACCTAAGAAAATCATAGCACAAGCAAATGCACAAACCTAACTGCTTAGTGCAGCCGATTCTGTGGCAGAAATCTCAGGCCTGTGAATGCAAAGTAGGGAGTTTCATTTCTGAAATGCATTTGTCTGTGAGTTACGATTCATTCTCTCCACCCTAACTCTCTCCTGAAACGCACTTACACGCACCCCTTACACACAACACACACAGTTACATGTGCACATGCACATTCTCACACACTTACAAAGTTACTATATAAGAGTTGTGTCGATTGGAATATTTCAGATAGCCTGTCTGTGACAAGGCTTTCCCAGATAAAGGCTGTGCACTGTGAACCCTAGGGGTGAGGAGTCGCTGTTAACAATGAGGCCTGTGATATCTAATTTCTAGCTTTCTGCTACCAGCACACCAGTGTGAGAGAGATCCTGGTGTGATGAGTGCTATGTGTCTTAGGAAACTTCGGCTGAAGATTATTCCTGTCTGACACATGTATACAGTCAATTCATTTTACTGTATATCCTGTGAAGTGCTTTGAGACATCTCGAAAACATGATAAGACGCTATACCAAATGCAAGAATTATTATATTATATTCTATAGATTTCTCGAGACATCAGATCACGAGGCATCAAACACACAAAGCACATAGCCCACAGTTAAGAGGATTTGATCCAGATCACAAATAAATTAATACACAGCATTTCAAATGCGCTGTTATACCAAACTAAACAATTCTGCCCTGGTATAAGATTGAAAGTGGTGTGCAATCAGGTTTTAGCCAAATTTGTCAATTGATCTACCTCCCTAGCTCTCTGACCTGCTTTCTCCTCACGCCGCTATCCACTGCCTCTGCTCGGGTGGCTCTGGCCTCCTGCCTGTCCCTCATCCCCTCCACTGAAACTTCTGAAACTGTCTCCCTCAATCTTTCCACTTTGCCCCCTCCTTCCCCTTTCTTAGATCACAACTGAAGACCTCCCTCTTCGCCCGTGCTTACAGTAACCTCCACCCTCCCTTTGGCTCGGCGTCATGCTCTGCCACTGTTAAGCGCTCTGAGACGCTGCTCTTCATGAAGGGAGCTATATAAATCCAAGTTGTTGTTGTTATACATAGATACATAGAAAGAAGAGTAGGCCATTCAGCCCCTCTAGCTTGTTCCTCCATTTTATAAGATCAGACTGATCTTTACCTCAAGTCCAGTTACCCACACTTGCCCCATATCCCTTATTATCCTGACCTAACAAATATTTATCTACTTCTATCTTGAATCTGTTGATCTGAGTTTGCTTATCTGAAGAATTCTGAGGCTGCTTCCTGTTACTTGCTAAAACTCAACTGCAGATACCATCTCAATCTTATCAAGAGCTAATTTGTAGCTGACAGCCTAGCAGAGTTGGCAGCAGTCTCTCCTCTAAGTCAGAAGGTCATGGGTTCAATCCCCGTGTTGGGACTTTGAGCTGATAGCATGGGCTGACACTTCAGTGCAGTGCTGGGGGAGTGCGTTGTTAGAGGTGCCCGGCGTGAGATGGACAGGCTGCGCGAGATGACTGTGCGGGTCCGACTTGTCCAGGTTTCTGCTGGTGTTGTAGTTCGGAAGGTGATTGGAATACCTCGCGGCTCCCTCCTCTCAGCTCCTGAGGCTTCAGCACGGAATTGTAAGAGCTGTCATAAATAGGTAATAGGTAGCTGCATGCAAGAGGCGTCAGAAAGGAAGATAACGAGACTTTAGTTTGAGCGAACTGTTCACCTCCTCCATGGACTGGAGAGAGTGCCACTGAGCGATGGGTCTCCTTGGGTTGGCCAGCATGTCTGACCAGTGCTGCAGCTGGTTGCCGGTGGCATTGCAGCCCAGGAAAAGCTTCCCGATGGCATCGTTCTTGCTCATCTTGTCGTGATCCCACACGGAGATCACCAACCTCACCGTCTGTGCCAAAAAAAACACAGGCAAGCCATCAGCAGACAGCATTCACACCGAGATCCATCCTCTTAGCGTCATTGTTTTTCCCGCAAGGACTTTGGACATTTCAAGCCCTATAAAGCCTAGCCTTGCCGATTCTCCACACAATAATGTTTCTCCAGTTCCATACTTTCTTTTTTTTTTAAATGTTCACATTTGAGACAGCGCCTTTCACGTCAGCAAGACATCTCAAAGTGCTTCACCAGATTGTACTGTAATAGTGAAGGGCAAGTTGTTCTTGTTGTATATAAATGTAAAATTGTGGATAGCCAAGACTCTATGAGATGTTACCCCTTGTTGCTCGTTCCAAATTGCCAGACGCTCTTTCCTTACCTGTATTTGTTCAAATGTTACAGTGAAATTGAAGGACTCATTGTAATATGGGTTCAAAGTGTTCTTCTTCACACTTGTCTTCTTCGACTTGATTTTTTTCTTGTCTTCAACCAGATGTATCTTAATGAAAGGGTCTGTGGAAGCAAAGAGCAAAGAAATGTCTTCAGATGATTTGATCTGTAGGAATAATATTTCCTGTCGGAATAAACGTTCCCAGTTGAAGCTCTTACCTGATGCACCATCTTTGTCCATCACTTTCAGGTTTTTAGCTTCCAGGATGACCACTGTCAGCTTGTTAGACGTAGGCACGTAACGTAGGGAGAAGCAGATCTCACCAAGTTTGTCTGGCTGACGGAGAATAATGGGAAATGTTTAATACCCTGAGATTGAGGTGTAAGGAAAAAGCATTGTTTCTAATGGAACTATGTCCACCAACATGGGCCGGAAGAGAGACAATTGGGCAGTCAGCAGCTGGGAGGGGAAGTAGTCAAGGATGTGCTTCATGTGGTTTGTGAGGGTGGAGAGGTACAAGGGAGAAATGGGGATAAAAGGGTACAGAGTAGGGATAGTGGTGGAAGGCTTGTGAAAAGGATAGGGGTCTATTTTATACATGAGGAAAATTGTCACCTCCTCTTGTTTGGTGTCAAGAGTCAGACGGAAGGGGTTTTGCAGGGGAGGGTCGAGCAGGTGATTAGTGGTGGAGAAAAGTAGCCTGGGGTTGTCATCACTTGGTATAATATATCATTTTTAGCCAAAGTCAGGTTTGTCACAATAATGTGTAATTCACGCCTTGAGTAACTAAAGCAACGAGGGTGGAGAGTGTCTGAAAGGATGTGATTTCAGATCAACATTGCACAATGGTGCCTTCAAACACACGCGATTATTTCAATGTTCCACTCTCCTGCACCTTAACATGGTTTGGGGTGGGACTCTCATTACATGACTATACTGTCCAAACTGGATTACACTCACAATGCTCGTTCTAAATTTTTTCTTATTGTTTACTGACCTTATTTGGGTCTGAGGCTGATGGATTCAACTAACCTTCCACTGGGACTTTATCTTATAGTGTAAAATAATCCACAAGCTCTCGCACAGTCTGAAAGACTGAGATGCCATCTTTTGGATGAGATGTTAAACTGAGGACCTGTCTGCCCTTTTCTCAGGGTGAATATCAAAGATCCCGTGGCACAGTTGGAAAAGCGGAGGGAAAGAGCTTCCTCTCCAATGTCCTGGCCAACAATCATCCAGGATGATTGATCATTCGCTTCAAGGCTATTTGAGAAAAAGTTGCTGAGCATAAAATAGCTGCAACTTTTGCCTACAAAAGCAGTCATTACACTTCCTTCCTTCGGACCCTCTCTGCTTCTCACTTTCTATATCCCCCCTCTATCCTATCTTCTTTCCTTACTTCCTTCCCTTCTTCCTTTCCTGTCATCTGAATCTCCGAAATATACAAACCCACCAGCTAATGGGAAATGAGTGGCTTCCATTTCTTCTCCATCACCAAAACCCCTCTTGTCCGTGAAGCCCGTTCCCCTGGAAATGCCTTTCACTTGAAAAAGATCCTACCTCATCCTTTGCTCCAGTCAGATCCCGCCATTCTTCGATCACGTGAGTGGGATCGAAGGTTTTGAGTGGGACTCGTATTTCACCGATGATGCCGTGCTTGGAGAACCTGTTGGAGTCGTACACTTGCATCACCACCGTCTTCGTCTCACGCTCTTCCCAATTGAGCTGAAACAGGACCAGAGAAACCTGTTAGCAAGTGGGGAGAACCCTAGCCTTCAACTTCACACTGAATACAAGAATTGCCCCCACAATTGCATGACTTTAAATAGCAAGACAAAGTAGGCTTACTATACAGCTTTGGAGAGTCAGTCTAGAATGTGAATGCAAGGTTCAGCCTGGCTCAGAGGCAAGAGTGCCACTGACTGAGCCAGGCTGACACCTCAGGACAGATAGTGCTCAGGACTTCCCACTACAATTGTGTTGTCTTTAATGCCTCAGAACACAGATGATTAGCACCTCCCATTACCAATCGCCCGTTAGACCGCCAGTGTGTGCAGCACCTTTTAAAACACGTGTGACTGTGCTCACGCCTACCTTGAAATCAAAGCGTTCATTAAAGGTGGGGTTCAGGTTATTCCGGTGAACCTTGGTTTCAAATGTTGGCCTTTTCTCCGGATCGAGGTAGACAATGACGTATGGATCAGAGCTTCCTAAGATGTCCATTGACATCAGATCCTGTGCCTTTAGAATTCCGACAGAAAGCTGCATGGGATGCAAAACAAAGCTTTCAATTAGTTCAGGGCACGATCAGTTACTGTTAGACAAAGGCAAACTCCACACCTGCAGCACATCTGCGGTGAATTTGCGTCCTGCCTTGTTATGGACAACAACAACAACAAATTGCATTTATATAGCAGAGGATGTGAAACTGTCTGTTTGTGCCCATTAATTGCTAGGTCACCAGCAAGCGAGCACAAAGAAAGGAGCATTAGAATTTTTTTTATAAACAACAACAAAATTACATTTTTGTACCTCCTTCTGTGCAGTAAAACATTTATGATTCCACAATGAGTAAAATCCAGTTCACAACCTTCCCACGGGTTAGGGAGGATAAAATCAGCCAGGGTTCCTGTTCCTGCTCCCTCTCAGCAGCCTGCGGAAGGCAGGTGGGGTGAGGTCACACTTGCCCGTCACACCCTCTACACTCGGTGTGGGTGTAAGATTGTTGTGAATCTGCTGTGGCCCATTGTTATCTAAGAATATTTTACATTTGGGTCAAACCTCCGAGAGTTATTGAGACTTTCGAGACACTTGGAATATTATTCGATATTTCGCACCCGGACACACAATTTTAGCCTCACCGATTTCTTTATCATGTCGTAATCCAAGGAATATTGTAATTTTCCCGGACATCGAGATCCTTCCAGATCGTCTATATCCGGCTGCACCTTTAAGAGAACCCACAAATAGCTGGTCAGCACCGATACAAGCTAAACAACCCTCTCCCTCGTCTTAATGCAGCATCAGTGGGATTGTGATCGCGGTGACAGAGTTTTGTACTGATCGAGTCTCACACAGAGTTAGCAATTTGAATAAATTTTGCAACGTGGTGAAATCACAAATAGCCATGAGCATGAGTGGGGAACTTGGAAACTGTGTATGGAATGTATTGGGCAGTGTAAGGTGGGCATTGTGGAATGATGAGCAAGTGTGCTGAAGGGATTTCATCCAAACCTCTCTTATAAATTGTTCACTCAATCCACAATTATTTGTGGGAGGGACACTGCTGTGTGCAATTGGCTACCGCGTTTCACCCACAAAATATACAGTCAATTCACTTTACAGTATATTCTGTGAAGCGCTTTGAAACGTGATAAGGAACTATATCAAATCCAAGGATTATTATTATTATTATGCTCTCTCTCCGCACTTTTATTTAAGGTATAGTAACTTGAGTAACATTGGGATAATGACATTGAGGGACAGTGTTAAGGTGCTTCACAAATAATTGCTGTTAGGTGTAGTGATGTGTGCTTACAATTTTAAATGGGAGTGGGATTGTTGGCCAGGACACCGGGAGAGATACTTCCTCCCTCACTTACCAGGCTGGTGGTGGTAGAGCCATTTATGCTCTTCAGGTTGAGCTGCTCCTTCTTCTTTTTCTTCTTCTTCTTGCAGCAACATTTGGCAATGATGCAGATGATGCAGATGAGGAACACGAGGCCTATGGCTGCCGCTATGGCATAAATAGCCCATCGTGGCACTGAGTGGGTAGAGCATGAAGCACGTGAGATCTCAGTAAAACAACAACAACAGATTACATTTGTATAGCGCTTTTCACATTGGGAGGACGTCCCAAGGCGTTGTACAGTCAGGGATTTGGACCCAAGCAGGGGGTTGGGATCAAGAGGGTGGAAGACAGGGGGGTAGGAGGATGACCGAAGGCATGGTCGAAGAGGAGGTTCTTGATATGGGGCTAAACCAGAGAGAAATTCTCCAATACCCCAAGGGAGGCTGAATTCCACACAGCATTTTTTTGGTCAGCTAGGCATCTGACACATGCAGAAAGCCATCCTCATGCTTAACAGTATCCAAACCAAGCTGAGAATTCCATGGATCCCACCTACACATGGAAATTCCAGAGTTAGATTGTTGGAATGGAAGGTGCGCTCTCTCCCTGGAGGGATGCATCCTGCTTACCTAAGTTCAGAAAGTATTAGGTGCAGGTTGGCAGGAGCCAAGGCTTGGGGACCTCAGGGTATGTTAATTGTTTATCTGTAATCTGGACCTCAGAGGAGCTTCCCACATGCACTCTGAGAATCGAAAGTTCATCTGTTTATAATGTGGTTCAAACTGAACTAATTGCAAAGTCAACGCTGAATAGGAGCTCAACTTTAACGCCTTCCCCTGTGTATTTTGTGCGTGAAACACAGCAGCTAATTGCTCACAGCAGTGTCCTACAAACAGTCGTGGATTGAGTGACCACTTTTTTTTGAGAAATTATTATCACCAGAGAGCATTCCATCAATCGACTAACAACCGGATTCCTACTTACTGCTAGGTAAACAGAGGTGTGTGTGTGCAGTAAGGAAACTTGCCTAATGTTTCACCTATACTGGTCGAACCCTGGCCTTCTTGCTTGCGAGACAAGTGCACTAAAACCACTAATCAATTAATGTTACAACATTGAAATTTGCCCATTGCGCTAGTGTCTGGAACTCGAGGTACGCTCTCTCTCTCGCTCCCTTCCACACTCTTCAGTATCCCTCGTTTTTCAAGGATCTATCGAATTTCCCTTTGTAGGAATTGACATAATCTGCTTCAACAAGGATAGGTGGCTGAGAATTCTAGATTCCAGCCACCCTCTTTGTAAAGAACTCCTTTTAACCCCAGCAATAACTTGTAACCGTTCACACAATGAATACAGTGAGCTGATGACTCATTCTTGCATTCACCTGTTTAAATGTTAGCAGATCAGTGTTTGGCTTCCTCAACTGTGCAATGGATGTGTAGCTGTGCTGGGTTAACATGAGACTTGCAGGGTGCACAGCGGTGTTGCATATAGTGAATGTATAAATACAGAGAGGATTAATAAAATACGTGCGTTGATCTATATCCATATATTCTCTGAGATTTGGGCTAACGCTTCCCCTTTGCTGTTATAATAATAATAATAATAATAATAATAATCCTTGCATTTGATATAGCGCTTTTCACGTCGGGAGGACGTCCCAAAGCGCTTCACAGAATATACTGTAAAGTGAATTGACTGTATATTTGTGGGCGAACGCGGCAGCCAATTGCGCACAGCAATGTCCCACAAACAGTCGTAGATTGAAAATGACCAATTTATTATTGTTTTTGGTTTTGGAGGGATTATTATTAGGTGTGTGGAGTAAGGAAACTTGCCCAAGGTTTCGCCCTGCCTGGAATTGAACTCAGGTCTCTCGCTTGCAAAGCGAGTGCTCTAACCACTGAGCTACAGGACTCCACGCTATAGTCACGTTATAGTCACCTTGCTCTGCTCACCGGAACACCCCTCACCCAAAATCCTTCCCTCTCTGCTTTCAAATCCCTTCTAAAAACCTAACTCTTTGACTGTGTCTTTGGTTAATAATACTTGTAATAATAACCATTGCATTTGGTTTTGCACCTTATCGCATTGTCAACACATCTCAAAGCGCTTCACAGGATTTTACAGTGAAGTGGAGCAACTGCATATCTGTATGCAAACGTAGCAGCCAATTTGCTCACAGCAAAGTCCTACATACAGTCATGAAGTGAGTGACCAATTTCTACCAATTTGTGTATAACGTCCACCTAAACAGGCAGTCAGGACCTTTGTAGTATCTGATCCATTTACTCCATCCTACATCCAGAACGTGCTTGGGTTTCCCACCATCTCTGTAAAGCACTTTGAGATGTCATGCTATATGAAAGGCTCTGTATTGTCATGCCAGCAGGTCCAGGACTTACAGGGAATTTTATTGAGCAGACCATCAATCAAGCTGCTGCTTTCTGTGGTCGCTATCTGAGTGCTGTTGGTTGGTTGGACAGCAGTCCCTGGGTTGGTGGTAGCATGAACCGTTTGATTCATCTCCGAATGTCACTCGAATCCTTTAATCTGTAAGGAAAATAAATCAAATATTACCTAATTCCAGAAAGTTTTAGGCGCAGGTTGGCACGAGCCAAGGCTTGGGGACCCCAGAGAATGTATTTGGGGGGTATTGCTGGATTCTAATCAGCTAAAACAGCAATATCAATACCATTGATATTGCTGTTGGTGAGCTTTCCTGCTGCAGGCCCAGCTAAGACCACCTTAGCCATTAGGGCTTTGGCTTGCAGGGTCAACAGGAGCTGAGTGGGATGATTCCCGGCCCCAGGGACTGGTCTGCCCTTCCAGGTCCTGCCAATTAGCCAGGCTGGCTGCGCTGTCATAAGCAGCAGTACTGCGTACCCGCCTGGCTGACTCGATTCCACATTCCGCAATCATTCAGCTCCAAGGAGATCATGTAAGGGATCAGGGGTATAGATAAAGCGCAGGGAAATGGGATTCAATAATCTACCTAATAATAAAGAGCCAAATAGATTGTACATACAGTATTATTGATGTCGCTATCCCAGGTGATTACAACGTAAGAAATAAGGAACTAGAGAAGATCAGGAAATGTATCGATCTACAAACTGAATGCGGACGTGGCAGTCTAAATCAAACATAGCTCCTGTAATCATCGGTGCAACTGGATTGTTAATAAGACTCTTCAGAAATGGCTTGACAAAACACTTGGTGAACAAATTATCAACTTCCCGCAAAAAGTAATTATTTTGGGAAGTTCAAACATACTAAGAAAAATAACATCCATTCATATGTAATGTGGCAGTGTTGGTCTGGCTGACCTATCCCTGAAAACCACTTAGAAACTACCTCCACAAAGTGATTTAAACTGTGATAATAATAATAATAATCCTTGCATTTGATATAGCGCTTTTCACATCGGGAGGACATCCCAAAGCGCTTCACAGAACACACTGTAAAGTGAATTGACTGTATATTTGTGGGCGAAATCGGCAGCCAATTGCGCACAGCAATGTCCCACAAACAGTCATAGATTGAAAATGACCAATTTATTATTGTTTTTGGAGGGATTATTATTAGACGTGTGGAGTAAGGAAACTTGCCCAAGGTTTCGCCCTCTGCCTGGAATTGAACTCAGGTGTCTCGCTTGCAAAGCGAGTGCTCTAACCACTGAGCTACAGGACTCCATAATAATATTGATACAGATGTCGAGAGGATATCTCAAAGTGCTTCATAGGATTCACTGTAAAGTGTGGTGACTCTGTATTTTGTAATTGATGTAGTAAAATAATAATAATCCTTGCATTTGATATAGTACATTATCATTATTACAATTGTGAACAGCAATATCCCACAAACAGGGAGTGACAAATGTATTATTATTTAAAAATGTCCTGATAGCTATGCCCCATTAAGCTGCTTGAAGTTGGTGAACATTTTATACATAGAATAGCTTTTCCCAGCCTGCCACATTGCAATACTTTACACACTCGAGAGCTGGAACGGTTTACCAGGAAGGCTGGCTGAGGTTGGGGGCATTTTATAATAATAATAATAATCCTTGCATTTGATATAGCGCTTTTCACGTCGAGAGGACGTCCCAAAGCGCTTCACAGAACACACTGTAAAGTGAATTGACTGTATATTTGCGGGCAAACGCGGCAGCCAATTGCGCACAGCAATGTCCCACAAACAGTCGTAGATTGAAAATAACCAATTTATTATTGTTTTTATAATAATAATAATAATAATCCTTGCATTTGATATAGCGCTTTTCACGTCGGGAGGATGTCCCAAAGCGCTTCACAGAACACACTGTAAAGTGAATTGACTGTATATTTGTGGGCGAACACGGCAGCCAATTGCGCACAGCAATGTCCCACAAACAGTCGTAGATTGAAAATGACCAATTTATTATTGTTTTTGGTTTTGGAGGGATTATTATTAGGCGTGTGGAGTAAGGAAACTTGCCCAAGGTTTCGCCCTTCCTGGAACTGAACTCAGGTCTCTCACCTGCAAAGCGAGTGCTCTAACCACTGAGCTACAGGACTCCACATTTTAAAAGCATGACACTGTTTTGGGAGGATGGTAGGGCTGGTGTTTTGGAAGAAGGAGATCAAATTGAGGGGGAGAGGCTTCCTTGTGAGAAGCATTTGTTATCTTGTGATGTGAGCATGACCAGGGCTCAAACACTCACACTGTGGTCTCAGCTCTCTCCAGGTGATGCAGCACAATTACACTCCCTGCTGCCTCAGCTCCGCACGCACTCACTCAGTCATTCCCTCAGGTAATCTGATAACGCGGTCATTATTAGTCAGGATCACAAGCATCAGCATATGGTACCAGTGGTTAGAAGGGAATTAACTAAGTGTAATGAGGAGCTGGGGTGGCGAGGGAGAGAAGGAGACACAACAGGCTCATCAAACTTGCTGGGAAAAGTGTGTAACCCCCTGGTGCCACATCAATCCCAGGAAACAATCACTGGCTGATCATTTACTCACTCACATCATGGATAATAATCCCTTCAAAAATTTTTTTTAAAAATAATAATTTGCTCACTCAATCCACGACTTTGTGAGACACTGCTGTGTGCAATTGGCTGCCGGGTTTCGCCCACAAAATACTCAAGTCAATTCACGTTACAGTATATTCTGTGAATAGCTATGAGACCTCTCGTAGACATGATAAAACGCTATGTCAATGCAAGGATTATTATTGTTAATGGGAAGCGTTGTATTTCAGAATTCCTGTCCTTCAGATGAGACGTTAAACTGAGGTCCCGTCTGCCTGTTCAGGTAGAAGTTAAAGATCCCATGGCACCACTCAAAAAGGGAGGAGTTTCTACTGGTGTCCTGGCCAACAATCCCCATATAAAATTAGTCATTCATTTCATGGCTGTTTGTGGGACATTGTTGTCCGCATTTGCCTACAAAATACCCAGTCACTACAGTTCACAGTAAGTCCTGTGAAGCACTTTGAGACTGCTTATTGTTATAAGTTTCAACATGTCTTGAGCACGAGTTAAAAGTGTCACAATGAGCACTCGTATGTCGAGATATATATTATCAGGGATGTATACCTTTGTATTCATGCTTTTAGAAAATATAATAATAGCAATAATAATCCTTGCATTTGATACAGTGCATTATCACATCATCAAGGCGTCTCAAAGTGCTTCACAAGATATACTGCAATATTTTGAATATTTTAATAAACCATGATTTAAGCTCCATGATGGGTTTGCCCGTATGTCAGACACCCATCTTAGAGAGAAAGAAATTAGGGTAAATAATAGTCAATCACCTTTGGAAAACGGATGCTGAATTGACTCATTGAGTCATCGGCAGGACTGCTCTACCTCCATTCAAGGTGTTTGTAAGAATGTATTCACCAAACACAGAAGGAAATCTGCCTGTAAAATAGACAACATTTGCCTACAAAATACACAGTGACTGCATTTACAGTAAATCGCTGTGAAGCGCTTTGAGACTTTTCTTGTTGTTATAACTTTTAACATGTCTTGAGATTGAGCTAAAAATTGTCACAATGAGCCCTCATGTGCTGAGTGTCATCAAGATATAAACTCTCAGGGATGTACTGTATACCCTAAGAACACAAGAATACTCAACAACAACATCCCCTTCATTTACAAAATATCTCAGAGTGCTTACTGTCAGTAATCACTGTCAAGTGTAGTGACTGTGTATTTGTAAGCAAATGCGGCAGCCATCACATGCACAGGAATGTCCCACAAACAGGCTTGAAGTAAATGATCAGGTTCACCTGGGGGTTTGTTGGCGAGTAACCAGAAGGAAACTCCCTTCTCTTTTCTAAAATGCCCTCGGTTCTTTAACATCCACCTGCACAGGCAGATGGACCGCAATTGAATATCTAATCTGAAGGTAAGGAGTGTATTCCCAGCACTGCACTACAGTTAGCAGTGGGGCTTGAACCCACAACCTTCTGATCGAAGGCAACAGTGCTACCAACTGAGCCCGGCTGACACACGCATACCAGCCAGCACCTGCTCCACCTGAATAGCAAATAGCTTGCACGTAACCACAGCCTACTCCCTGTTCACTGTCTATTGTTTATGCTTGATACAGAAACACAAGACATGAGCAATGATGGACAGACAACAATTGTGTGATGTTGTGGGTGGATTTATGCTCTAGTATCACGCTGAGAACCTATTTTCACCGAAGTCTAAATCTACAGTGTTTCTTAACTTTAAAAAAAGGTCATCGTACATGTTACTGTGTCATATATCAGTGCTGCTACACATCCATTGCATACACGTGTGGAGTCCTGTAACTCAGTGGGTAGAGCGTTCGCCTCGCAAGCAAGAGACCTGGGTTCGATTCCCGACAGGACGAAACCTTGGGCAAGTTTCCTTACACCACACGCCTGATAATAATCCCTCAAGAAAAAACTCAATAATAAATTGGTCACTTCAACTTCAATCCACGACTGTTTGTGGGACATTGCTGTGCGCAATTGGTTGCCGCGTTTCACCCACCAATATACAGTCAATTCACTTTACAGTATATTCTGAGAAGCGCTTTGAGATGTCTAAAAGCCGTGAAAAGCTCTATATGAAATGCAAGGATTAGTATTATTATATGTTTCACACATCGCACACATGCGTGTATCATACATGACTGCTGACTCTGCTGCATACGTGGGTATCATACACAAGCACATCGCACATGTCAGATCATAGCTGCTGAGCGAAGGCTGTTTTTGCCTCCTTAGGGAGCAGAGCCCAGTCTCCACACAGCAGTGGGTGTTAGGCCAGATTTCACACTCTCTGCAGCCAACCGTTTGTCCACCTGCTGAAAAGAGTCAAAACAAGCTGAGCCCAGTAAAAGCACCTGGTTGCCTGAAGTTCTAACCGCTCCCTTAAGAACCAGAAACTCACCGAGAAGCTCCGGCTCGCTATTTCTCTCCAGTTCAGGAAACAGGACGAAAGATCTTCGACATGAGGCTCAACTTCTTTACCCGTAGGTTTGCTTCCAATCTGTGAGGCTGTCACATAACAACTTGCCTTTACCAAAGTGAGACACTGTGTTCTCGGTGTGGGTGTGACATTCCTGGCTGTAAAAGAAGTCTGACCGGCTTTTCTTTTTGAGAAATGCGGAAACCTGATGCCTGTAGTGAGTTACACCCGAGGTATTAAACACATGGAGGCTTGAGCCAGGTGCACACACCCACGCAACTATTAGAAATATGTGGGAATCCTTACACCACCTCCCCCCCAACAGGTCAACACAACAACCATCGCCAATGACGTACTCGCGCAGTCTTGTCAACAATGTCACATGTTCTCAAAGCTGTCCAGGGATTCACAAGATCGCAAGATCCGTTTGGGTGGAGAAGACCCTTTGGCCCATCTCATCGTTCGGGAAGCCCCATCCTACCATCTCCCCATCACAGCTTCAAGCTACATTTTAATTGAGTCCCAGAACAATATTCTCAGATATAGCAAGACAGTAGAGTAAGAGGACACCGGTTTAGAGATCCAAAGGGTAATCTGCGGACAAGTATAAGAGGGTAATTAATGAATGGAACATGTTTCTAAGAAGTGTGGTTGAGGTCAGGTCACTGGACTCATTTAAAAAAAAGATGGATGATATGATAGGGAAAGATGAGGTGGGTATACTGAAAAGATGAGATCAGATGGGCTGAAGGGCCTTCTTCATCCAAACTAGTCTTGTCATCTTGGTTTGTGTGGAGTTAGCTGATCTCAGGTGGTGGCAGCAGTTGGGTCAATAATTGACTTTAGGGCTACTGGATTTGGTGGGGAGAGTGAAATTCCACCAGAGTTCCTGCTCCGTATTGCTATCCAGAGATGCCCTTGTCCCCTTGCAGGGAAGTGTGCCTGTGAGGACAGAATCCAGCTCAGCTGTCATGCCTTCCCTCTCCACTGGTGTTAGTGAAGACTTAGTGGCAGAATCGTACAAAACATGTTTGGTAGATCTCAGTCTCCGAGCTCCCAGTTTAGGCTGACACTCCAGTGCACTTTTTAAAGTACACAGATTATTATAGTTGGAATGTTTAAGTCTAGATTTTGAGGAAATTCCTTCACGTACATACAATAACCGTGGCAAGTTGCTGGTTCAACTATTTAAGATGTTTAGAGGAGTATCACAATAATATAGCAGACTAATTTCATTTCATGATCTGTTGAACTGTATCCTGCTCCCAATTGGAGTTCATGTGTAGTTTCTATGAATCCTCACCAGATGGCAATGTATGCCCAAGCCTCTGATAGGATTCCTTCAGATATCCTTACTGCCTGATGTCTCACAGTACTCACAGTACTGAACAGACTAAACTGGCCCGCGCAGTTGTTTATGGTGTACGTTTAACCCTCGTTTACCCCTCTCTTCTCCACAAGGTCCCACTCTAGATGACATACGGTTCCACTGTAGCATTATTTGTATTTGAGTGCTGACACTGAGCGTTATAATAAAATAATAATCATCACATTTGGTATAGCGCCTATCATGTCAGGAGGACGTCTCAAAGTGTTTCACAGGATATACTGTAAAGTGTAGCGACTGTTTTGTGGCCAAATCATGGCAGCCAACGTGCACACAGGTCAATGCATATTCAATAGTAGTTTTCAAAAGGGAATTGGGTAGGAACCTGAAAAGGAAATATTTGCAGGGTTATGGGGTAAGAGCGGGGGAGTGGCACTAGTTGGGCAGCTCTTTCAAAGAGCCAGCACAGGCACGAGGGGCTGAATGGCCTCCATCAGTGCTGTAAGGTTTTATTTTAGCCGATATCCCACTAGCTGATATCATGTGACTCAGCACCGATTGGGATTCAATCCTGGGACCCTCCATGCTTCGGCTGTAGCTATATTCAGTGGCCAAGCTATTGGCAAAACTGGAACAATCCCTTTTTCGAGAAAATGTGAACGGGGAAAAAAAGGTGGTGGAGGGATCAGCGGGGGAGTTGCTGTGTCTGCAAAGTTACAGCTATTGTTTTCACAGAGTGCAAACCAGACTGACACGCAATGAGAAGAGCTGGGAGATAGAAGCCACCAGCATTCAGGTCCATAGGGGGCTGCTTACCCTTCACAACAGGCTTTCAAAACACCGTGCTTGCAAATCCAAACAAAGGCACGTATGGACACTAAGCGCACAACAGAGTACTGTAGATGCCTGGAGTGAGTGTTACAATGTCAGGTAAACGTGAGGAGGGAGGGATCCCTATCAGGCAAGTGTGGCAGCCAGGCTCAGTTGATAGCACTCTCGCCTAAGAGTCAGAAGGTTGTGGGCAGTCGCAGACCTGGCTCCCTAGAGGGCTCAGGATTGTCAGGTAAAATGGGGGTGCCAATTCAGCATCATTATTTCATTATAGCTTTCATGCCAGAATTCTAATTGCTCAGCATGAACTGTGTATATCGGAGGTTAGACTGCTTCAGTGTTATTGATCCTCAGTTAGCTGATCCGAATCTATGAGCTCATACAGTCCAGGCTGACACTATAGCTGCCTTCATGTGGGTAATATCTTGGAGCGCTTAACAGTGGCGGAGCCAGGGGGAGATAACCATAAACACCATTGAAGAGGAAAGTCATCAGCTGTGATCTGAAAATGGAGAAGGAGGGGGCAAGGCGGAGGGAATGGGGGAGAGTTCCTAATTTTCGGGCTCAAAGCACATCCACCGCTGTTGGAGCGGAGTGGACAAGGGACAAGCAGCAGGCCAGAGCCAGTCGAACAGAAGCGCTGGGTAGTGGAGTGGCGAATAAGCAGGTCAGAGAGGTAGGAAAATACCAGGACATGAGGGACTTGTGGACGAATGTGAGGATCTGGAAGTCGATTGAGTATTAGGGAGCCAGTGAAGTCTGGCGGGGACTTGTGAGATGGAGGTGCAGAGTTTAGAGCGGGTGACTAGATGGGCGGCGGAGTTTTGAATTAGTTGGGTTTTGTGGATAGTGGAGATGGGGAGTATGGTGATGAGGGCTTTGGAATGGTCAAGGCGACAGGTGACGTAAGCAGGGACGAGGATCTCAGCTGCATTGCATGTGAGGGCGTCCTCCTGATGTGAGACGCTATAAAAATGTAATTTCTTGTTGTTGTTGTGAGGTACGGTCGGTCATGTGGGTAATGTGGGTAATGTGACGGAGGTGGAGGAAAGTGGGTCTTAGTCTGGGACTGGATGTGGGGTAGGAAGGACAGATGGGGATCGAACTTGACACTGCAGTGCAGTGCTGGGGCAGTGCTGTAATGTCGTACGTGCTGTCCTTCAGATGAGACGTTAACTTGGGGGATTGTTGGCCAGGACACCGGTCGAAACACCCTCTTCTTCTTGAGCACTGCCGTGGGATCTTTTACCATCCACCTGTGAACAGGCAGACGCGATGGACGAAATTTCCCAACTTCCCGGGAAGTTGCCGGTCTGCCCCGAGCTGGGCTCGGACGGGGCCTCGATCAAACGTCTCATCTGAAGGACGACACCTGCGACAGCGCACGAGCTCCGCGAGTCGCGACGCGGGGCTGGAAACCCACCACCTTCTGCGCTTTCGGAGGCGAAAGCGCGACCAACTGAGAGCCGGGCTGCCGTATTACGGTCTTTCCCATCACGCCAACCCATGATTATTGCCCCTGTGCATTATTATTATTATTATTATTATGATGATGATGATGACTATGATTATTGCCCTGTGCTGCCCTCTCTGGTGCAGCCAGGGATAGGGAGCTCTGGGGGGGCTCCCCCTAGCGGCCGTGACCGCTCCTGCTGGCCACCGCGCGCTGCACGCCGGGAGCTGTAGTCGTTTGTTGTTGGGGCGGGGCGGCCATCAGTGGGTGGAGGAGGAGGAGTGAGGGGGGGGGCGGACTACATGTCCCGGCGGGCATCGCGCCCGGCGCCTGCGCACTGGCGAGACGAGCCGGAACCAGTGGGAGAGAGCAAGTGTAGCAAAGTGGAGTCAGTAAGTACAGTGGGGACCTGGACCACAGCATCACAGCGCCTCTCTTCCTCTCTGTGCACTCGTGCAAACGTTACATACTTTCCAAGAGGGGGGAAGACAACAAAGTCTCCTTAACGTTCATCTCTGCCTTGCAACCAGTCTTACCTCCTAGCCTGGGCTGCACCCACTCACTCACTCACTCACCCACTCACTCACTCACCCACTCACTCACTCACTCACTCACTCACTCACTCACTCACTCACTCACCCACCCACTCACTCACTCACCCACCCACCCACCCACTCACCCACCCACTCACTCACTCACTCACTCACTCACCCACCCACTCACTCACTCACTCACCCACCCACCCACTCACTCACTCACTCACCCACCCACTCACTCACCCACTCACCCACCCACTCACTCACCCACTCACTCACTCACTCAACCACTCACTCACTCACTCACTCACTCACTCACCCACTCACCCACTCACACACCCTCCCACCCACTCATTCACTCACTCACTCACCCACCTACTCACTCGCTCACTCACTCACCCACTCACTCATCCACCCAACCACCCACTCACCCACTCACCCACCCACTCACTCACCCACCCACCCACTCACTCACCCACCCACCCACCCCACTCACTCACTCACTCACCCACCCACCCACCCACCCACTCACTCACTCACTCACTCACTCACTCACCCACCCACCCACTCACTCACTCACTCACTCACTCACCCACTCACTCACTCACTCACCCACTCACTCACCCACTCACTCACTCACCCACTCACTCACCCACTCACTCACTCACTCACTCACCCACTCACTCACTCACTCACCCACTCACCCACCCACTCACTCACTCACTCACTCACTCACCCACTCACCCACCCACTCACTCACTCACTCACTCACCCACTCACCCACTCACTCACTCACCCACTCACTCACTCACTCACTCACTCACTCACCCACCCACTCACTCACTCACCCACTCACCCACTCACTCACTCACCCACCCACCCACTCACTCACCCACCCACTCACTCACCCACCCACTCACTCACTCACTCACCCACCCACTCACCCACTCACCCACTCACCCACTCACTCACTCACCCACCCACCCACCCACTCACTCACTCACTCACTCACCCACTCACTCACCCACTCACTCACTCACCCACCCACTCACCCACTCACTCACCCACCCACCCACTCACTCACTCACCCACTCACTCACTCACTCACTCACTCACTCACTCACTCACTCACCCACCCACTCACTCACCCACTCACTCACTCACTCACTCACTCACTCACTCACTCACTCACTCACTCACTCACCCACTCACCCACCCACTCACCCACCCACTCACTCACTCACTCACTCACCCACTCACTCACCCACTCACCCACCCACTCACTCACTCACTCATCCACTCACCCACCCACTCACTCACTCACTCACCCACTCACTCACTCACTCACTCACTCACCCACTCACTCACTCACTCACCCACTCACTCACTCACTCACTCACTCACTCACTCACTCACCCACTCACTCACTCACCCACCCACCCACTCACTCACTCACTCACTCACCCACCCACTCACCCACTCACTCACTCACTCACCCACCACCACTCACCCACTCACTCACCCACCCACTCACTCACTCACCCACCCACCCACTCACTCACTCACCCACTCACTCACTCACCCACTCACTCATCCCAAAGAGGAGCAGATCCAATTTCTGGCTTTCCAAAGGGAATCGGGAGATTTTTTTTTCCGCTCGCGGAGGGGCAGGGCTTACCCCGGGGTGGGGGGAAAGAGTGAGGTGGAGTGGGGCTAATTTGGATGGCGCTCTCAAACGGGCCGGCGCCGCCAGGCAGGCTGGCAGGCAGGCAGTCTGGGCCGAATTGCTGCCTTCTGGGCTTTAGGACTCTGTGGTTCTTTGCCCCCTCGGGCTGGCGGCGCTCTCGCCTCCGATTCAGAAGGTTGTGTGTTTTAAGCACCCACTCCACCCCCCATCTTCTGGACGTCTCAAAGCGCTTCACAGAATAGACTGTAAAGTAAATTGACTGTATATTTGTGGGTGAAACGCAGCAGCCGATTGCGCACAGCGGCGTCCCCCGCCAACAGTTGCGGATTGAAGTAACCGATTTTATTATTGTTTTTTTTGAGGGATTATATTGCTGTGTATTTGTGTTATTGGCAGTTATTAATAATAATAATCTTTGCATTTGATATGTAAAGTGTAACTGTTGGTGAAATGCCAATTGCCAACAGACAGTCATGGATTGAGTGACCCACATTTATTTTGGAAGTGTTATTAACCCGCCTGGGAATTGAACCCCGGTCCTCTTGTTTGCGAGTCTAGTGTTCTAACCACTATATGGGGCTCCATGGGAATGTCCATGGCTCTCTGCTTCTATCTGCAGTCGATGGTGAAGAGGGCGCTGCCTGAGCTAAGCGGAATCAGGGAATTAACACTGTGACTAGAAAGTGCACTAAGTGCAGTTGGGAACTGAGGGTATTTCTGGAGCTCGGTCAGTGGTTGAGTTAATTTGGGAGCATGAGGTCTGTGAGACTCAATCCTGGCATTCAGACATCTTTCTGTGATTTCCGATGCCTTGGATGATACCGCCGCCCCTTCCGTTCAATCTCTGCTCTTTTCTACCTCCTAACCAACTATAAATTGTCTCTCTCACTCTCTATATCTCTCTCTCTGCATTGAGTATCCGCCTGTTCAGGACACAACAGTACGTTTGCAATCTGGATAAACGTACTGAACTCATTATCACGACAGACTTGTACTGATTGAAATCCGGGCACCTAAAGGGTTAAAGATCTACTGTGTTTCAAGTCTCTGTAAACTAGAGGTATCAAGATCTATCCCTAACGTCACTTTTATTTCCTTTTATAAAACAGATTACAAAAGAACCGGAAGTATCCGAGATAAGGTAGGAGGATCTCACAGGAGACACACACACTGGATCACATTGTATTTGATTTTACCCTAATATATTCCCATCAAAGCATCAAACTCCATCTCCTGTTAACCTCTCAACTCAAAGACCTAAAGGGTAGGATGATCCTCGCTGGACAAGCAGTGGGAAGCTTGTCAGATAATGCTCTCGATGACAAGTTATTCAATTTCAGGTGGTTAAGCTCTTAACAATTACCCCAATACACACTCTGGGGTCCTCAAGTCTTGGTTCTTGCCACCCTGCGCCTAATACTCTCCGGAATTAGGTAAGCAGGGTTTGACTCTCTGGGGAGAGAAAGTGCATTCTACAACAACAACAAAATTACATTTGTATAGGACCTTTCACGTCAGGAGGACGTCCCAAGGTCCTGATTCTATTCCTGACACCGGGAAATTTCAATGTGTAGGTGGCATACAAGGGAGGAATTCTGTTTGGTATCAAATGCAAAGATGATTATTATTATTGCTGTCAAGTGTAGTGACTGTACTTGTAGGTGAATAGGGAACTTGATGCATTTCTCTCTGTACTGAGTAGCTGCCTATTCAGGCCAAAGCATTTATTGAAGTCCACCTGGACTAGATATATAAATATATCTGTGTATATTGTATTTATATACGTGTATAGTATATAAATCCTGCAGCACAACTCTCGTCCTGTATTAGCAGGATGCAGATGAAATCAAAATAAATCAAATTTGGTCCCACACTGAACAGAAAGTCCTGGATCATATTTCCCCTTGGATGTTTTGTATTTTTGTACAACAAAATTGAAGTTTTAGCTTGATTTTTTTTCTACCTCAGTTTATTTTTTTGAAGGAAGTTTGTTTTGTTAAATTTGGACTTTATTTCAGTTTGATTTGGCTCCTTTTTCCTTGTGCTGAAGTACAGTTTCCAGTGACCTCGTTCAAAATTGTCAGCCTGGCTCAGTCGATAGCGCTCTCATATAAATATAATATTATTGTTGTTGTGTTGGAGGGAGGGAGTTCCAGTGATTTAGGAGATAGGAACTGTGGGCTCAGCCACCACTGGTGGTGTGGAGAGGACAGGCCATCCTAAGACTTTCATCTTTACCCCTTACCCACCATCTCTGGCTCCTATCCACCCCACCAACTCAGGAGCTCCAGCCAGTGTGTGAAACCCTTTGAGGTGTGTCCCCCCACCCCCCGATGTAAAAGACGCTGTATAAATCTAAACTGTATGACTGCCACAGAGGACTGGCTCGATTATGACATTCCATTGGCAAACATGTCTCCTTGGAGCACAGTGCCAAGGAGAACCGCTTACCTCCCGTCCAAGGAGGATAGTAGGGATGAGGATTGAGCAGTTGCACTAAGTGTAGGTTTGCTACTGAGAGGACAGAGAGCTCAGATATCCCCCTCACTTTAATCTGTACTAAATTCATGCCCTCTCAATTTTTCTTGAAAAGCCAGGGTTTATTTTAAGTTTCCAGAGCATGGAAATGATTATTGATTTTTTTGTGCGTGAAAATAAACTTTAACAGAAAGGGCGTACAGTGCGTTTATGTGGTGAGGGAGGCTTGTAATCTGGTTGTGGGTGAGCCCAGCTCGACTCACTGAGCTGTGTATAAAAGGCTATCTCTCTCTCTCTCTCTCTCTCTCCACTGTGTGCCCAGTGAGTGATTTAACACGGTCTCTCTCTGCGTAAGCTTTGCTTTGACCTGGATAAAAAGAACCCCTCAGGATTGACAGAACCCCAATATTCCACACTGCTCTGCTCAAAACTGTGAGTATTTTTAGGTCTTTTCCTTCTCTTTTCCACCACCCCCCGATTTTGAGCCCCTTCCCAGCAGCACTGACTCCCAATATATTCCTATTCAGACCCTCTCTGTTTCACTGTCCTGTCAATGGGTTGGGTAGGTATGCATAAGGCAGGTTCTGCTTTGTCAGACTCCATTGAGCGGTGTGTGACAGCCGACAAGTTAATTTTGTTTCAGTCAGCCTAGTGTCTGAGACATGCGGAAATCCATCCTCATGCTTAAAGAGTACCCAAACCAAGCTGAGATTTCCATGCATCCCACCTACACATGGAAATCCCAGAGATAGATTGTTGAGATGGAATGTGCACCCTCTCTCTGGAGAGACACATCCATTTTACCTAATCTCGGAAAGTATTGGCAGGGGACCCCAGAGTGTGCATTGGGGTAACTGTTGGAAGGAAGATAATTGTGTATGAATGACTGGTGACTAACCTTACTTTTACAGGAACCTTTGACATAATAAAAATCCTTACATTTGATATAGCGTAGTTGAGACGTCTCAAATTGCTTCACAGAATATATTGTAAAGTGTATATTTTGTGGGTAAAACAAGACAACCAATTGCGAGCATTGATTTCGCACAAAAGTTCGCGGATTGAGTGACCAAATTATTATTATTTTTTGTTGAAGGGATCATTATCCACAGAAAGCAATCTACAAAATCGACTAACATCCTGGTTCCTACTTACTATAGATAAACATAGGTGTGTGGAGTAAGGAAACTTGCCTAAGGTTTCACACTGCCCAGGAATCGAACCCGAGACCTCTCGCTTGCGAGGCGAGCACTCTAAGCGACAGGACTCTCAACAAAGTTGGCGAGGCAACGGGCTGGGCCAGAGGCCGTGGCTTCCAAACCGAGGCTATTTTCAGGAATATCATCTCCGTGTTGGTTAAGAATAGATTTCCTTGGCAAAGCCAATGATTATAGACAGTGCAGTTTGCAGGGCCCTATTACGAGACACATCCCTCTGGGCGTGTGTGTTGTTGAAGAGCCAGAGAATTGTTCGTTTGGGAACCTTGTAAATCAGAGCCCAGTGTAGCTGTGTGAGCTCTCACAAAGGACAGTCATTCAGCCCCACATCTTCAAGTGTTTGTTGGGAAATCGTGTGTCACATTCTTTGAACGTCCTCTCAGCGCTGCGTGAAGGACGCTGTGTAAATGCGAGTCGTACCATTCAGGTGGGCCTTGAAGGACGGACTTTCCAGCATGTTACAGAGACGGGCTCTTCTGATCATGGTGATTCTCTTCCCCCAGGTCCTGCTGAACACAGAAGATGGAGGCTGGTGACCAGATCATTGTGAACACTGAGGTGACACAGGTCAGTAAAAATAATAATAATGTTCCTTTCATTTGATGTAGCGCCTTATCACATCGTTGAGTCGTCTCAAAGTGCTTCACAGAATATACTGTGAAGTAGATTGACTGTGTATTTTGTGGATTGACTCCTCATCTGCAGTTTCTGCTGCTGACTCAAACTCTAGTTTCAAAGACTTGAACCTCTATTATTGGGTGTAGAGTGGTGAGTATTTGGTGGGTGTGTGCTGACCCCTTGTGGAAGTGCGCCAACCTGGCTCAGTTGGGAGAGCTCTCCCCTCTGAGTCGGAAGGTTGTGGGTTCAAGCTCCACGTCGAGGCTTGGAACTCACATAGTCTAAGCTGACACTCCAGTTAGTGCTGTGGGGATCACGTTAAAGACACCCACTAAAGACAAAAAATTCTCGTTCACTTCATGGCTATTTGTGGGATATTCCTGGGTGTCAATTGGCTGCCGCAGTTGCCCATATTGTATCAGTTAAGATGTAAAATGTGTAATTGTTGTTACCTGCACCATTGGCGGTCGGGTATTGAGCATCTCTGCCCCCACACTCTGGAAATCTACCCTGCAATCCCTCCGCCTCACCCCCTCTCTTGCCTCCTTCAAGTCCCGTCTGAAAACCTTCCTCTTCAATTGTGCCATCGGCCACCCTCCCGCCCCCACGCCCCTGCCCTTCTCCTCTTCTGACCCCAATTCCCGTCTCGGGTCCGAAACCCCTGAGTGTGCAGTGCCCCGGGACATCTTTCCGACGTGATGGGCGCTATACAAGTGTGATTTGTTGTTGTTAAGATGTAAAATGTGTGATTGTTGTTCGAGACAAATCAGGTGATCTAGATGAAAGCCTGGAGGAGGCTGAACCTGGAATAAAGTTGAAACCCTTTCAAGTTCGGAGTAGAAGGTTTTTTGATTTTATTTAAGCGATGTCACAACAGCACACCAAACACACAGTCACAACACTTTACTGTATATCCTGTAATTTGGGATGTCCTGACATTTTCAGCTGATGGGTATGTGCTGCCCCCTGTGGCAGTGTATGGTATCTGTGTAGTGTGTGTGTGTGTGTGTGTGTGTGGGCGCACTCTGCCCCCTTGCGGGGACCCCAGAGTTTGCATTGGGGGGTGCAGCTGGAGTTTAACCAGCTATAACTGCATAGTTTGCCTTCGAAAGCACTGCCTAACAAGCTTCCCGTTGCTCATCCAGCTTGTACCTCCCTGGCCCGTTAACACTTTGACTTGCAGGGCAAGACACCGAGAAAAGCTCTCTCCGTCCAGTCTTTGTTTTTCCTTCCGGCTCGGACATTAAAATTGATATTTCATCTGCCTGCTCAGTTGGACTTCAGGCCGACACCAGCACGGCAAGATGCCTTTATCAAGGCCAGTCTCTCCCACACATTGTCAGGCTGCGTAACATATCTGAGCCTGTGTCAACAACAACAACAAGATTACATTTGTATAGCGCCTTTCACGTCGGGAGGACGTTCCAAGGCGCTGAAATTTCACCATCTGTCCCTCACTGTATCGGGCTCAGCCACTCCTCCCTGTTTCCTACACTCTGCTGACCAAAGAAAGAAACTGATTTCACCCCTGGACTTCCTGCAACACGCAGCCAGTGTGACCGGTTGAAAATTGCTGACGATCCTTTGATCACAAGATTGGTCTGGATGAAGAAAGCCCTTTAGCCCATCTGATCTCATCTTTCCACATCACCCCACCACAGCATCAAGCCACTTTTTTTTATTATTATTATTTTATGAATCCAGTGTCCTGGTCTCAACCACCTTTCCTGGTAGCCAGTTCCAGTCATTCATTTCCCTCTATTTAAAGAAAAATTTCCAGTTATTAATCACATTCTGGGTTTAAAAGCAAACACTTTGTCTGTCCTGAAATTACCCTTTGGAACTCTAAACTTACGATGCCTTGTTCTGCTGTCTTGCACTGTTCCAGATTTATTTTTTCAAACCCATTTTATATTTTATTCTCCGCGTCTGAGATGGGAACTCTGAGGTGTGTTTGGTGGGAGCTGTCATTAATACAATACCTTATGTTTCATAGAGCTTCTTATCCTCTAGCCGAAACATTTCAAAAGCTTCACAACACTTTGTGATTGTCTCTCTACTGATGTTACTCCAGCTCCCTCGCACTATCGGGCTGTGCCTGACCCTCAGCTAACCAAAAAAAAAGTTGCACCCACTGCTGTTTCCTCTGAAGGATCACGTGCTGAGCTGTGACCTGCAAGCACACTGTTAATAAGGATTTCTTCACAGATTGCCTGTTGTTTCCTGTTGAAATCTTATTCCCAATTTTGCAGCGAGCTGCAAACTCGAAGTGTGAAAAATGCTGAAGTTTGTTTGACGAGACCGGAGCCCTGTGTGTGTGTGTGTGTGTGTGTGTGTATGAGTAAATGATGCAAGCTGTCATCGATACAATAATAATCCTTACAGAATGTCTCTGAGCACTTCACAGGATTTTGCTGTAAAGTGCAGTGACTGTGTATTTTGTTGGCAAACTTGGCAGCTAATTTGTGCACAGTAATCTACAGTATAATAATAATCCTTGCATTTGATATAGCGCCTGATCATGTTTTTGAGACATTTCAAAGCGCTTCACAGAATATACTATAAAATGGATTGACTGTGTACTTTGTGGGTGAAACGCGGCAGTGTCCCACATCAATCATGGATTGAGTGACTAAATAATTTTTTTTTAAGGGATTATTACCCCTGGAAAAGCGATCCGCGAATTGACTTGCAACCTGGTTCCTACTTACTTCTAGGTTAACAGAGAGTGTGAAGTAAAGAAAATTTCCTAATGTTTCGCCCCACCCGAGAATCAAACCCAGGTCCTCTTGGTAGTGAGGAGAGTGCTCTAACCACTGAACTACAGTGATGGGATGGTGGGGAGGGGAATTGAAGTTTTCTCTCTGTCTTTCCAGTCTCTTTTGCTCTGACGACCACCGTAATGGAACCTTGTTATTACATCTCCTTCACCACTCTACCACTGTCACTGTGACAGTTGTAGGTTGATATATCCGTACATCATTTAGCTTGTGACTATCAGCACTTTTGTGGTTCTTTTCAATATGAGAAGTTTCTCAATATGAGCGTGTATTTTTAGACTCCGGCACTTCCTATTTTTTCACTCATTCTTGAGGTCTGTTTAGCTATCAGGAATGGACTGTCAGGCTTCCCAAATGTCAGCTTGGACCTTCTGAACTAAGGGCATATTTGACATGACATTACTTTGTTAAGAAAAAGGATTTCAAACAACAACAAAATTATATATGTATAGCGCCTTTCACGTCGGGAGGACGTCCCAAGGCATTGGACAATCAGTGTTTCGGACCAGAGCTGGGGGTCGAGATCGGGGAGGGTGGAGTGGGGAAGGAGGGTGACCGAAGCCACGTCCGAAGAGGAGGGTCTTGAGATGGGTCTTGAAGGAGGTAAGGGTGGGGTCGAGGTGGAGGGATTGCGCGATGGAATTCCAGAGGATGGGGGCAGAGTGGCTGAAGGCCCGGCCACCATTGGTGTGACGGGAGAGGCGGGGCCGTGAAGCAGAATGGAGCCCTGAGTGGAGGGAGCGGGCAGGTTGGTACGTGGTTAGGAGGTCGCAGAGGTAGGGGGGACCAAGGCCATCGAGAGCTTTGAAAGTGAGGAACAGGATCTTGAACTGTATCCTCTGTGTGATGGGAAGCCAGAGGAGTCGGGCGAGAATGGGAGTGATAAGATTGTGGAGATTGTGGGAGAGATACAGGCTGCAGAATTCTGAATAATCTGCAGCCTGTGGAGGGAGCAGTTGGGAGGCCGACAAGCAGGGAGTTTGTGTAGTCGAGCCTGGATATTATGAATGCGTGGATGAGGGTATTGGTGGCCTGGGGTGTGACTCCACCACTGTGTGAGACAGACAATGTTGCAGAGGTGAGGAAGTCATGGCACGGATGTAGGGAAGAAAGGATAGTTGAGGGTCAAACAAGATGCCAGAATTCTGGACTCGCTCAGTGAGGTGGAGTGTGTTCCTTCGATACAGTACAATTTAGGTTTACATATTGCCTTTCACATTGGAAGGACATCTCAAAGCACTTTAGAGGATATACTGTGAAGTGAACTCAAACACAGCAGCCATTTGCACGCAGCATTGTCTTACATACAGCATTGAAGGGAGTGACTGATTTGATCTGGAAGATTGTTGGCTAGGTCACTGGGACAAACACTTCTCTTTTTGAATTTGAATAGTACCTCGAGATCTTTAGCAACCACTTGAACAGCTTTCGGTTTTAATGTCTCATCTGATGCAGGTCACCTCTGACCATGGTTTTCCCTCGATTTTGGACTCAAGGAAGTGTGCGAGGAAATGCTGGACTTCCTCGAGTCCAAAATCAAGAGAATCCGCTCAGCTGTCACTGCCCTCCCAACTTTCATCCCCTCCACTACCCATCCCTCTTTCCACACCTTTGAACCTGTCACCCCCTCCTCTGGATTCACCAGCATTTCCTCCATGAAGCTCACCATCTGCTCCCTGGACCCCATCCCCACCACTCTCCTTAAATCCCAGCTCCACCTCCTTGCCCCACTACTCTCTGACATCATCAACCTCTCCCTGTCATCTGGCGCTGTTCCTACCCCCCTCAAAACAGCCACTATCACCCCCACCTTGAAGAAACCTTTCCTTGACCCATCACAGCATGGAAACTGCTCTTGTCAAGGTCACAAATGACATCCTGACCATGTGTAACCAGGACTCCCTCTGCCTCCTCGTCCTCCTCGAACTCTCTGCTGCTTTGATACTGTAAACCAGTCAATCCTTCTCCACCGCCTCTCCTCCCACCTCAACCTTCAAGGTTCTGTCCTTGACTGGTTCAGGTCCTACCTTTCATACCACCTCCACTTTGTCTCTGCAAACGGCTTCTCCTCCAGCCCCCGCATCGTCTCATGCGACATTCCTCAGGGCTCTGTCCTCGGTCCCCTCCTCTTCGCCCTCTACATGCTCCCCCTAGGTGACATCATCTGCAGACATGGGGTAAATTTCCACATGTATGCGGATGACACCTAACTCTATCTCTCTGCCTCCATCCTCAACTCCAGGACTACTGGTGTCCTGACCGACTGCGTATCCGACATCAAGTCCTGGACGAGTGACCACTTTTTCCAACTGGACGTCAGCAAGACTGAGGCCCTCCTGATTGGCTCGTGCCAGCACCTCCGCACCTCAGGCACTGGCAGCATCAGTCTCCATGGCTGCACACTCAACCTCACTGAGCCAGTCAGGAACCTGGGTGTCTTGTTTGATCCTGAACTGTTCTTTCTCCCCCACGTCCAAGCCATGACTGGCACTGCCTACTACCACCTCCACAACATTGCCACTACCTCACCCCTCAGGCTGCCGCAACTCTCACCCATGCATTCGTCCAATCAAGGCTCGATTATGGAAATTTCCTCCTCATCAGCCAACTCTTCCCTTCACAAACTGCAGATCATCCAAAACTCTGCAGCTCATGTAGTCTCGCGCACCAGGCTCCGTGACCCCATCGCTCCCACCCTCGCCCGACTCCACTGGCTCCCCATCGTTCAGAGGATCAAATTCAAGATCCACATGCTCACTTTCAAGGCCATCCTTGGCCTTGCCCCCTCTCTGACCTGCTGATTCCCTACCAACCTGCCCGCTCTCTCCGTTCAGCAGGCTTCAGCCTGCTCCATGTCTCCCGCCTGACCTGCCCTACCATCGGTGGCCGGGCTTTCAGCCTCTCTGCCTCCACACTCTGGAACTCCATCCCACAGTCCCTTCGCCTTGCTTCCTCCCTTGCCTCCTTCAAGGTCAGTCTGAAGACCCTCCTCTTCGATCGTACCTTCAATCACCCTCCCACCTCTCTGCCTTCCCTCACCCTTACCCCACCCCTCCCCCATGCTCGGGTCCTGACCCCTGACTGTCCAGCGCCTTGGGACGTCCTCTATAAATGTATTTGTTGTTGTTGTTGTTTCCTGTTGCACTGAACAGCTCTCCGGCTATTGTGTGTTTGTTTTGCAGAAAGACTCCGCGCAGGCAGTGACTATAGCTGTGTCGTCTCGTGCTATCTTTGACCTGGAGGAGGAGCATGAGCTGTTCCTGGCGGAGGGCATGGGAAACTACACCAGCCATCAGATAGCACACGAAAACGAACCTCTGGCAGAGGGCACGGCATTGCCCTTCATCAGAGTAAGTGCCCCCAAGGCAGCCCCCGCAGCCAGTCCCAACATCGTTAGTCGCTTGTAAATATGTCAAATAAAATTAGCCCGCAACTCGTGACTCATGGCAACTTTCATCTAAACTTTCACCTTAAAAAAACAGTGGTACAAGCCAAATAAATAGTAATTTACATTTTATGTCGGGAGGACATCCCAAGGCGCTGCACAGTGCAGGGTTTGCACTGGAGTTGGAGTGGAGGTAGTGGTTGTGGAGATAAGGGGGGTGGGGCATCGAAAGATGTCCGAAAGTTCATCAACGAGGAAGGTCTTGAGGTTAGACCTTGAAGAGGTGAGCTGAAGGGACATCCGAGAAAGAGTTCCAGAGAGATTGGGGCAGATGCGCTGAAACTATGTCCCTTGACAAGAAACCACCCCCACCCCGAGAGTGGTGTGTGATTTGCACACTTGTCTCTTGCAGGCGGTTCAGATGGTAAACGAGAAGTTATTGGAAAACAATCCCGAGGAGAAGCAACTGTTTGACATCATCCTGGTCTCCAACAACAACGCCCAGAGTGGACTGCGCATCATCAACAGCATCAAGCACTACGGTCAGACACCCAACACGCCCCGCCACAAACTATTTTCCTCTCACTGAACCTCTCTCCTTCCTCAAAGGTCTTTTCAACACTTTCTGCTTCCGCTCAGTCCAATTCCATTGTCCTTTTCTCTCTCTTTCCCCGCCATCCCACCCCACCTCCAAACATCGCCCCGGTGTTGGCTGTTCAACCGGTGAGTGGGCCACATTACGGTGTAAATGGGTAAAAGAAACAGCAGTAAAACTCACGCAAGTCTTACCTTTATAAATCGTATAATCGCCCAAGTCATGCTTTCACCCCGAGTCCCATTCAGTTTCCTATCAAAACCTCTTAGATTTCTTTGCACCACTTGTATTAATCACCTCCTAACTCGTAACGCCGCCCCCCTACCCTCCATTCACCCCCCCCACCTCTACCGGCTGCATTGAATCACGGGCAATTTACTCTTGATCCGTTGCCGCATGCGCAAAAGAACTTTGTTTCGGGCGATTCGCTGCAAGTTTTACTCTATATGTAATGTGCATCAGTGGCTCCTGTGGATGCAAGGTGCTGGTGATGAGTGAGTGAGTCTTGCTGTTGTTCCGCAGGTCTGCACATCACCCGGTTCTGTTTTCTGAATGGGATCGATCCCTCCAAGTACCTGCAATCCTACAATGTCAAGCTGTTCCTGTCAGCAAACGAGTCGGCTGTTTGCAGTGCCCTTAAGAGAGGTGACTCCCAACCCCATAGCGATAGAGTAACCTGGAAAGTGTGAAGCGCGTGGGGTAGTGTGTAACACAAGAATGACAGGTGTGTGTGGTAGTGTGTAACATGGAGAATGATAGGCATTTGGGGTAGCGTATAATACTGGACTGACGGGTATGCGGTAGAGTGTAGCACAAGGTGGGGGGGGGGCCATTGTGTGACACGGAGCGTGACGGGCATGTGAGGTAGAGTGTAACACAAGGTGGGGTGTCAATGTGTGACACGGGTATGTGAGTGTTGGAGTGTTACTCAGTGTTGGGGGAGTTGTTAATGTGCTTATGACCGCTCTTTCCCTCAGGGATTCCCGCGGCGCTGGTTATCCAGCAGGACGTTCAGACGGCAGCAGAGCAGCTGAGGGTGGTATTCGACGGGGACTGCGTGCTCTTCTCTGACGAGAGTGAGAACGTTTACAGAGAGAAGGGTCTGGACGAGGTCATCAAGTACGAGAAGGATCGTGAGCACATTCCTATTGGAGAAGTAAGTCGGCCAACACCCCCCCCCCCCCCAACACCCCCCACCCCCTCCCAACCCCCCCCCCCCCCCTCCCCTCTGTGTTTGTTTTTATTTGCAGGGCACTGCTAATTCCATTCCACTCCTCTCTTTTGTGTGTTTTATGTATAGTGGGTGTGATTATATATGTGTGTGTGTATATATATATATATGTGTGTGTATATATATGCCCACAAAATGTGTAATAAATAATAAATTGGTCAGTTCAATCCACGACTGATTGCGGGGGACACCGCTGTGCGCAATTGGCTGCCGCGTTTCGCCCACAGATATACAGTCAATTCACTTTGCAGTCTATTCCGTGAAGCGCTTTGAGACGTCTCGAACACATGATAAGGCGCTATATCCGATGCAAGGATTATTATTCATACATATTACTAAAAGTCCTTGCATTTGATATATATATATATATATATAGTAGTTTTATTTTCATAGAGCTGTTCTCTTTAGCAGAAAGGGTGGGTTAGGAAACATCTGGATGCTGTGATGGGAGGATAGTGTACACCTAAGGTTGGAAAGGGTGAGATCAAAAGGGGGGTGGGAAATGGGGGGGGGGGAAAAAAATCTGTGTGCATCCCACCTGCTCTCTCGCAACCCTGAGCGACGGTGCTGTGAAAGCGATCCCTTTGGGAGGCTAAGCTCGAGAAGTCCTCTCTTTCACCAGCCATATATGTGGACCAATTCATTCCCCCCCCCCCCCCCAATTCACTGCTCTGCCCAATAATTCGGTCAGACGTAACTCTCTCTCTAAATCTCAAAACTCTTCCTCTCCAACTATTTGAAGCAATACCCATTGCCAGTATTCAAGCGCGACTGAGTTCCAGACATGTATGCCACCTACACATGGAATTTTTCCTGTGTGCGGAATGGCGTGTGCACCCTCTCCCTGGAGGGACACACCCCGCTTACTGAATCCTTCAGAGTATTTGTCCCAGATTGTAAACAGCCGAGATTTGGAGACCCCCTGAGTGTGTGATGGGGTACTGTGTTTGGTACACTGCCTCCAGTAACATCCTGTGTTTGTAGACACAATATTGAAGTGTAGTCCATAACCAGGTCATTGTTGGGGGGGTTGGTGTTGCATGTAGATGGTTCCTTAGATGGAGGTATAACAGCCAAAAATCATTAATGATTAAAAACCGAGACCGCTGGGAACACTCAGCAGCTCAGGCAGCATCTATAAAGAGAGGAAAGTGAGTTAATGCTTCAGGTCGATGACCTTTCGTCAGAACCGGTTCTGACGAAAGGTCATCGATTGCCTGACCTGCTGAGTGTTCCCAGCGACTTCTGTTTTTATTTCAGATTTCCAGCGTCTGCAGTATTTTGCCTTTGTTGTCCAAAAATCATTAGTGTGTGAGATCTATCTGCTTTGGCTTTGAGAACTGCAGTCTCCATTCTCCTGAGAGAGGTTGATGTTGTGAGGATTCTATACTTGAGCATACAGTTGGGTCACTGCCACATTTTCATGTCTCTTCCTCTGCTGATGTTGAAATTATAGTCACTGTTCTTTAAATAGTAAGGGATAGCATGTGATAAGCAAACAAATTCCTGATTAACTTGGTTCCGAGTGACTCTGCAGATTCTAATACCAGCTCGTGGTGCTGGGCTGTTAAATGCTTGGAGGCTGCAGTGAGTGGCATTTAACAAAAATTGCATTGATACAGCAATTTTTACATTGGGAGGATGTCCCAAGGTGCGGGACAGTCGAGGGTTTGCACCTGAGCTGAGGGGTGGAGGGCAAATTGGAGTGGTGGTGGTGGGAAGATATCCAAAGGCATGGTCGAGGAGGAAGGTCTTGAGATAGGCCTTGTAAATCATCCTACCAACCATTCTGGCCTGTGTGTGTGTGTGTTTGAGCACAGAATAAAGGAACGGAGCTGAGTTTCATTCTGTTTTTATCGTTGGGATGAACAGTTTCTTTCCTAATTGTCACTGATACGTCAAAGTGTGTATCAGTGCGTGCCCATGCTGGGTTAGTCGGAAGTATACTGTCTCTCTCATATCTGCAAATGCAGACAAACTCACTCCCATTTTATAGAGAGGGTGCCAGTGGTTGCGAAGTCTTATGACAATAAATAAAATGACCAATAACATTTTTTGCATTTGATACAACACCTTTCATGTCTGGGGAACATCACTGTGTATTCTGTCGGTGAACAGATTTACAATCATTGATCGATTCAATTACAGATTTATCCTTTTTAGGTGGTTTATAATAATAATAATTCTTGCATTTGATATAGCCCCTTATTGTGTTGAGATATCTCCCAAGCGCTTCACAGAATATATTGTAAAATGAATTGACTGTATTTTATGGGTGAAACGCGGCAGCCAAGTGCACACAGCAGTGTCCTACAAACGGTCGTGGATTGAGTGACCACATTTTTTTCTTTACATTCCAGTTGTTAAAGACTGATCTAGACTGATTTTTTTTTAATCTGCTCTAAATCCTGAATTAATCCAATACAATTCAGGAATGCAGTTCCTTTACTTCCACTATACTTTGTTCCCCTTTTGAATTGCTCCTTTGATGAGCCGTGTCGACTCCAAATCCGTCTTGTAGGCCACTCTCTCTACATTGGAACTACATGAAAAGTTTGGGAAAGTCCAGGGCTCTGTCGGTATTTGTAATAACCTGATGCTTTTACAATACCTTAAATCTTGCACTAGATGTGAAAGAGGCTATAAAAGTATGTGTCCTTGATACACTGCAGCCTAAATTAAAAAAAACTTTGGGTTAATGATTGCATTCAGTTTTACTGCTTCGGTTGAGCGTGGCACTGAATGAAATTTATACTCCTTGATGTTTTATTTCAAGATCCTCATCCTCACCTACAAGTTGATTTCAAGATCCTCATCCTCACCTACAAGGCCATTCACGGCCTTGCTCCCTCCTACCTCTCCAACCTACTATCCCCCTACCTACCTGCCCGTACCCTCCGTTCCTCTGGCACCTGTCTGCTCCACGTCCCCCGCCCCAACCGCCCTACCATCGGTGGTCGGGCCTTCAGCCTCTCAGCCCCTAGGCTCTGGAACTCCATCCCCCAGTGCCTTCGCCGCTTCCTCCCTTTCCTCCTTCAAGGCCGGTCTCAAAACCTTTCTCTTTGACCGTGCCTTCAGCTCCCCTCTCGACTCTCTCTTCCCCCTCCTCGCTCCCTCCCTTCCCTCCCCTCACCCTGACCATTTCCCCCCTCCTTGCTCCCTCCCTTTCCTCCCCTCACCCTGACCATTTCCCCCCTCCTCTCTCCCTCCCTTCCCTCCCCTCACCCTGACCATTTCCCCCTGCTCGGGTCATGACCCAACTGTGCAGTGCCTTGGGACGTCCTCCTGACGTGAAAGGCGCTTTATAAATGGAATCTTGTTGTTGTTGTTGTTGTATTTCATTGAGGTGACCAAAATAAACCCAAGGAAACTTGGGTGGTGGGGTCCGCAGGCATTTTGCTTTGAACCACAATCGTTACTTGCTCTCTCCCTTCGAGACCTCTTTGCGACGTCTTCAGATTTCCGGGAGAAGTTTCACCTGGTCCGAACGTTTGTGTTTGCAGAATTCCTTTGACGAGGTTCCGCTCGATCCGGAGAGCCCTGAGCGACAGTGGGAGGAGTGTGGAGGACCTGCTCCCAGAAAACAAGTACAAGACAGATTCCCCGAGTATCAATGGCCCAACTCCAGAAACCCTGAAAAACTACCTGGACGTGAGTATCGTAGGCAGCTCAGCGCAGGACACCTGGCAATCTGCTTTTGCCGCTTTGTGTTCTGAGCGAGCAATTCTAAGGCTGGCATCAGGCTTTGTGTGTCAGCCTGACTCGGAAGTGTCAGCAGCACTCTCGCCTCTGAGCCAGGAAGTTGTGGGTTCAAGCCCCACGTCAGGGCTTTGAGTTCACAGGCTGACACTCCAATACAATGTCGGAGGCGTGGGCAGTTGGTGGAGGTGATGGGCTTTGGCTGAGATGATAAACCGAGGTCCGTCTGTCTATTCAGGTGGATGGCACTATTTGAAAAGAGAAGGGTCCAGGAGTCCTGGCCAATAATCCCCCAAATAAAATTGGTCATTCACTTCATGGCTGTTCGTGTGATATTGGTATATGCAAATTGCCTGCATTGCTGTGTTCGTCTATACTTCACTGTGAAGGGCTTTGAGACGTTCTGACGACGTGGTAAGGGACTATATCAAATGCAAGAATTATTATTATAATTATTAATCTCAGCTCTATATGGTGTGTTATGCATGTCGTGTCCGACAATGCGGTACTCAGTTTAAAGGTGAGTTTTCAGGGATTTTGCTAAGTAATTTTGAGGACAGAGTACAGTACTCTGTTCCCCTTTTCAATTCCTCATGAGACGAGTTGTATCAAAATATCAACTGCAAATTCTGCCCTTCCTGTGTGTGTGTGTGTGGTGTCTCGGCAGTCACCAGTCGTAGTCCAAATTAACGGTCCACTGGCACATCTGGCTGGACCGCATCAAAACGTATTCTGCTCTCGCCTCAGCCAAATCATCCTTCTACTCCAGGTTAATCCTGGAGGCAAAGGGCAACTCAAGGCTCCTGTTCACCACGACAACCGGCTCCTCCGTTCTCCCCACCATGCCTTGCAGATTCTTTCCTCCGACTCCCACTGCGAGGAAATGTTTGATTTCCTCAAGTCCAAAATCAAGGGAATCCGTTCAGCTGCCAGTGCCCTCCCTACCATCCCCCACACTCCGTCCACTATCCGTCCCTCCTTCCACACCTTTGAACCTGTCACCCCCTCCTCTTTCATCACAGTATCCTCCATGAAGCTCACCATCTGCTCCCTGGACCCCATCCCCACCACTCTCCTTAAATCCCAACCTCACCTCCTTGCCCCACTACTCGCTGACATCATCAACCTCTCCCTATCATCTGGCACGGTTCCTTTTCTGTCTAAGCACGGAAACTGCTCTGGTCAAGGTCACAAATAACATTCTGACCATGTGTGACCAGGGCTCCCTCTGCCTCCTTGTCCTCCTCGACCCTTCCGATACTGTGGTCCAATCAATCCTCCTCCCACCTCAACCTTTAAGGTTCTGTCCTTGACCGGT